GAGAGAGAGAGAGAGAGAGAGAGAGAGAGAAAGTGATGGAGAGAGCATTCCAGAGAACAGAGGGTTCCTGTATTGTGCTGGCCTGAGGCCCGATGTGCCTGTCCTCACCTCTCTGCTCAACCAGCCCAGTGTGTGTACGTGTGTTAAAGTCAGCTTTGACCCCATCGCCATAGCAATGTGACCTCATACCTGTAGTAAAGCCTATCTAAAGGTCAGTGCAAAAGCACCAGGGGGTTTACATACTATCTATAGGTATATGTGAACTATTGACAATGAACCACATGCACTTGCAGTTAATTATTACTTAAAATGAGCTTTCAGCTGCTGGTAGAGCAATATAAAAAAATAAATGGAACTCCCTCTATAATTCAGTAAGGTTATTTATTAAGCTAGGCTAAAGTCAAGTCTAAACCTGTGAGTAACATATCAGCCCCTAATAGTTTTGCCACTATTCAACATAAGAGAAACCCCACCCTTTTAGGTTCAACTCTTCCCAGGCACAGTCCTCATGATATGGCATGCAGAAGCACTATACAACATTACACTGGAACAAATACACATTTTCCACAGAATAGACTTTGACGGGAAAATGTTAACACTTTCAGGCAAACAGCAGCACAATGCTCAACAGGTTTGTCGTGTGACGAACCCGGGTTAAGGGATATTCTGGGAGTAGTTAGAGTTGAACGTTCTGAAAAGGGCAAGCCTCGGCTCATAGACAATCTTACCTCCCTATATCAGGGAGGCGTATGTGTTCTGATAACCAGTGGGCTAAAGTTGGTAAGTACATGCATTCAAATACTGTTCTTAAGTACCATTTTGAGAGATTTGTACTTTACTGGAGTATTTACATTTTGTTCTACTTTGTACTTCTACTCCACTACAATTCAGAGGTAAAAAGTATAATTTTCTAACACTTAAATCAGACTTTAGTTCCACCTGGAGTAAATCCACAAGCTACCCTGCAGTACACAAAGCCATTCAGACTAGCTGCACCTTCACCAGCTTTGAGAACACTTTCATGATCAATCATTATAAAACATATCATATATATTATTCTGAAATGGACCAATCTGCACAATGAATACTTTTACTATTGTGATGCGAATACTTTTGTACTTTTTACTTAGGTAACATTTTGAATGCAGGATTTTTACTTTTAACAGAGTATGTATACACTCTGGTACTTTTACTTAAGTACAACATCTGAGTACTTCTCCCAGCTCTGTTGATAACCAGAAAACATGTTATTATGTGTAGATTCTGCTTGTCCTGGCACAGACTGTATACAGCAGGCAGGAATTGGATACTTCGATACAACGTAACTGTAGTAGGTGTACAGAAAGTATGTGGCGAAACGTAACGTTATGACAATTAACATTAGCCAAGGCTACGTTATTAAAACGGTCCGTTAACTACGCTTTAACCTAGGAAGGATAAACGCAACAACAAGTTGTTGTTGTTATAATTCTGAAAAATGAAATGTAAAGTTATTTTGTATAACATTATAAATGAAGGTTACTTCTTGTGTTTGACAGGGCGTTGTGGCTGCTAGCTAAGCGAGCAACGTACAATGAGTGTTTTGGTTAGCCAGTTTCACTATCAGAGTACCCCAGAAGTAGCTGAGACATGGGCTAATAATAAGCTTCATTTTCTGTAGAAATTTAGTTTCTTTAGTTGGTACAATCCTTTGTCATCAGTTTAGAGACTTAACACTCTAAAAATAATAACTTTATTTAGTAAGTGGCTGGTTTATATTATTTAACTTTATCGTGCTAATGTTAGCAGCTAACTAGCTGCTTCCTACAGCACCTGTTGATAACAAAGCCGCCTCAGACAGAAAACACTGCAATACTCACTGTGTTTCTGAGCCGTCCACGTTCTTCTTTAGCTGCTATATCCAAAGGGGAAGTCGTTAAAAATGGGTAGTTGTATTGCAACCTGCGTTAGTTCGGGTTGTATTGTTCTGCACCACAGTTTCACTCTAACAGACTGGTTGCTTGTTGTGCAGCAGCGCTAGTACCTTCTCTCCTCCTTCTCACTGTCATTTCCAACTCCAAAAGGGGGAGGAGACAACATTCCAACTACGTAAAACAATGATGCTGATTGGACACAGCGATGAGAGGAATCTTGTCTAAACCAATCAAACACGTTGCTACATTGGTGGGATATATCATGTGAAAACTACTTTGGAAATATTACTACTGATTATTAGTATTAATAATTGACCAAGATTAACAACTAACGTGAGCATAAACCAACAAACTGAAATGAATAGCATGAATGAATAATGAATATTGCTTTTAGGTTACATTACATCTTTATGAATGTTTAATTGAGTATACCCTCATGCAAGGATATGTGCACAGTAGCATGCTGACTGCTGATAGATGTTTTGTTTGACCTCACTACTCCCTAATTTCATGAAAATGCGTTTTACACAGCATTTACAACAAATACAAATGTATATATCATAGTTTTCTAAATGTCGGTATTCACTGGATCATATGTCCATGAGATTAGATCACAGGGTTTAGCTAACCTGAAATACTGATCTGCATATGAATACGTAATGATAACAAACACTTAACCTAGGCTTTGTTGTCATGTCTGCAGAAGAATAGGTATATTGAGTGAGAGAGAAGGGAATCTACAGAATATACAATCAATGTTCAATTATTCAATGGTTGTTAGAGACATAAGTAGGGTGTAATGAACACAAAACCCATGTTTAAAGAGGACAGACATTGGCCTGTTCAAATACAACCTATGTTATGAATTTGGAAAGAGATTTACTTTATTTCATTTTGAAATGAAGTGAAGATTATATTCACAGCAATTTACAAAATCAGAAAAAAAATGAATGAATTACCAGCAAGTACAAAAATGATTAAAAGAAAAAACATTTCTTTCAAAATTGGTAATAAAAAAATTCCCAAAGCAATAAATACCTATTTCATCTCATGGACTTTGGCTTGTTCTTTGAGTTGAAAAAAAAAAGTTTATTTATTTGGAGTGTTTTCATTTGAATGTGGGAACTACACTTCTAAATTGTTGCAATATTATGAAAAAGACCAAAAAAATATTGCAAATATATCATTATACTCAATAATTGCGATTGTGTTTATTTGTATGATGTTATCAAATCACAATCCTTTTTGGACCTTGTGTAGAAGGTTATATCCTAATTCTCAGCAGTTAGTTAGAAACACAAAATGCCTATTAAAGATCTGAAATAACTGCAAAATAAACAAATATTTACACCTTGTATTAAAGCTTTTACTCAACACTCAAAAAGAAAAAGACTGTTAAATATTTATTTTTGTAATAATAATAATAAGAAAAAAGACAACTTTCCCAGACAAGAGGTACAGAATAATCAGGATTATTTTTATTAATTCATCTTCAGTTTCAATAATATCATTACAGAAAAAAAACATCCTCTTCATAATTTGTATACAGTAGTAGTAGAATGCTGTGTCATTGCTTCATTACAAGTGCTGGTCATAGTTTATAGTGTGTGCAGTGTGACACTGAGTTCAGTCCAGTGTTACCAATCACTCAGTACAAAGGCAGTTTAACAAAAACCTGCTTCTTCTTACTCAAATGAATCTATCTGGGTTTGATTCATCCTCCTTGGGCAGGTGTCAGGACGTGTTCTGATGCTGCGTTCGTGTAATAATGGGTTTATCGTAAATATCAGCTGCCGAAAAAACATGTCAATTTAAAACTTCTTTTATTTAATTTGATGTGGTCTACCACTGTATGAATTTGCAAAATAAGTCACCCTGTTCTTCCGTTTTTTCTTATAAGACATGAACCCAGCATGAGCCACTGATTGACATATGGTGCATTTGAGGTAACTGGGAATGTTCTGATATCTGAGCTAGAGGAATAAATGAGAAGACAGTGTGATACCAGAGTCTGGACTTTGATTATTTATTTTTTTCGCACCACTTGTCACATAAAGAACTGTAACATTTAGTCAGATCAGAAGTCGTGCCCAGGTGCTGCACCCTCGTCTCACGCCTGAAATGACACCTGCCTAAAGAGGAGGACACGCCCCCTTTGTATTGGCATGCAAGTGAGAGAAGGAGGGAAGAAAAAAAGGAAGATGAGATGTGAGGAAGGACAGGGGGGAGGGGTGGAGGAAGACTGCATCAGCCTATCAAGAGAGAGGGGTCAAAGCTCAGGAGTTCTCTATGGTGCTGCATTCAGTTCACACAGGAAATATAGAAGCTTCTGATCTTGACGTCATATATTTTGGGGTTACTGAAGATCATCAGAGGCATCTAGGAAAACATCTTGGGTTGCGGTTTAATACACTCTTTCTCTTAGGAAGGTTCCTAATAACCCGGAAGAACCTCAGTGGCAGCAATGATAAGAGCCGTTTGAATTCTCTATAGGAAAGGAGCTTCAATGCTTCCCAAAATATATATTTTTAGCTTAGGATACGCTGAACAATCCTTTACGAAATTAGAGAAAACTAACTCACAATTCCTTGTGGTTGCAACATTTAAGGTATGGCACCATTCGACCAATCAGAAACAACCAATATTGACCGACAAACACAGATCATTTAAGTTGTAAAATACCTATGTTTTGAAGTTTGTCAAGTTAAACCAAAAAGTGAGGTTTTTAAAAAAAAAAACATTGTAATGAAGTAATATATTTCTCTTTCGGCCGCGTTTAAAAGCCTGCTTGAAAAAATATGATAAGAACGGTGAGGTATCTAGATGCGCTGCTAATCCATATACAGAAACATTTTGTAGTTTTCCCCCTCTTAGGAACATTGTCTTTTCCTTAACCCCATGAAAGATCAAAGAAAAGTGTTTAGGAAAGACATTGGACCAGCTTTTTTTTTTAAATGTTTGACCACTTTAAGTACCATAAATTAAAATAAGTACCATCATTTTGTACTGTTATTCCAATATGACCTGAATGCAGCATTTGACCTTGTGTATTTGTGTGGCACTGATAGGAAGAATCAGGAGAGCTAGAGGAGTTAAGGTATGGTGCATAGGTGAATGCTTGGGACTCACAGTTTGCATATGATGCATTTGAACGGTCCTTGTTAAATTGGTAAACCATTGAAGTGTTTGATCAGCAGGATACAGCAGCTAACTGGCTCAAGCTAATAGTAAACTTTGATTGTGGGCTAAATATCAAACATGTTTTCTTTATTTCTCAGTGATGCTCAGACTATGTACAGTATATTGAGAGACAGCGTTAAACTGTTTGGATTATTTTGACTTTAACGAGCACCTTAACACGGTTGTGGTAGGAAAAACACTAGTTGTGTAGTTCCCGAGCACCTGAACGCGACACCCTGCTTTCAGGTGATGTCGGGTCGGAGTTTTCTCTGAATTGGGAAAACGGTCTGTCACAACTCACTCAAGCAGCACTTTCGCTCATGTTGTTGTGGTTTGAAAAAGATGGAGGCGGCTGATTGGCCAAACAGAAGCCAGCCTTTGAGACTAACCGGCACATATTCATTCATCTTTGGCTATACTTAAAAGGACATATTTTTCTCCGTAGTCAACAAATCACATGAAAAGTCCCAAACCAGTTATAAATGAATCCTATGATGGAATATCATGTGTGCATCAAACCCATAATATCTTCTTCCTGCCATAGAGCTCCTTTTTGTCCAAAATTGACAAAAAACACATCGCTGAGTCACACTTTTGAACAAGTGAAGTCCATTTGTTTTCACCTTGAACACATGGTCTATGGTTCATTTTGACTCAATCACACAGATATGTTACATATTTGAATTCTCCGTGGCAAAAAAGAAGTCCCCAACATGTCATGTTTGCTCAAATTCTAGAGTAGCATGTAAATAACTATTATGGTACATTTTGTTTGTTTTATGAATTTTGACCTGTATGTGTAAAGTGTCTCAGAGCACCTTAAAAAGCAATCTATAAATATAACATATTATTATTATTATAAGTGCCCAGCTGTTTTTGTAAATGCACTATTCTGTCCCGTTTAAAAAAAAATGGTTATACATTTTGGTAAATACGACCAAAGTAAAATAACGAGATTAATAAAAAAATATGAAGCATTCTGCTCTCTCATCTGTGTTTATTAATATGAAGTTAAAGCCAGCAGCTGGTTAGCTTAGCATAATGACTAGAAATATGACAATTCTGGTCATTTTGATGTGATTTGTTGATAATAGAAAAACATAGAATTTCACAACAATATCCTCTAATAGTTGTAGAGATGCAAATACCAAGTTGTTATATTTTGTACTGCAGTTTTGTGGTGTCAACTATGATGTTGTGTAAATCAAACACCACAAGTGGTAAGGTTAGACTAATACTTTATACTGTATGTGGCTCACCTGACCTATGACAGAAAAAAGTCAAGTCATATTTATTTTTGATCATTTCTGTGAGTCATGAAAAGTTTTAATGTCTCAGTATGATTAAAACAAAATTAAAAACAAGTTATCGTTGTATTTTTTGGCAAAAATAATGTTATATATATATATACTGTACTGGCACAAACTATATCAGCAGCTTCAAAAAATGATGTCTTTATACGCTCATATTTCTGTCAATAGTGTAGGTCGGGGAGGCGTAGTGATACTGCAGGGAGGGGGTTTCAATATGGTGTTCTAGAAAAGAAAAGAGGGTGAGAGAAAAGGAAAAGAAGGAGGTGGAGGAAGGAGTCTCTAAGTCTCTATATCTACGAGGGAAAAATATCCAACGCACAAAGCAAATGAACAGGAGAGAAGAGGGGATGATTACTACTAAGATGATAATATTCAATCAGAACCATGATAATAATAATAATAATAATAATAAATAGAATATTAATTAACAATATTAATAATCATTATCATCAGGATAATAATATTACAGAATAAATCTCGTATTTTATATATATATTTTTTTTCTCCATTGAACAGTGATCTCCTCAGAGCAGACCAATGAGGTTTCAGCCTCCGCTGGCTCCGATTGGCTGTTGCATATGACATCACAGCTAATGGCGACCAGGTAGACATGCATCACTTCCTGCCCCCGCCCGTTTCCTGTCCTGACAGGAAGTCCTGGCACTGCCATGGTAATCGGTAGCGAGTGACATAGAAGTCTGGGGAGGACATTTGTTGGCGTTACAGTTGGATGAGCGTTCCTAATATAATGCTAATATAATGCTAGTATATCGTACCTGCATCATAGCCGTCCGATGACCATGACGTCGACGACCTCTCCCTTATGCAGCTCCACATACTGCTCTGTTTTGGGAGGTAACATCAGCAGACCGTTGGCGCTACGCATGGACATTAGCCTGCTGGATACCTGGTTGCCTGGAGACGGAGAGGAGGATTATAGGTGAGACTGAATGTAGGAAAGAGTGGTGCAGGAATGAGTCCTTTAACCTAGAAATGAGTTAGCATTTTAGCACTTCCAGGTTCCCTTGTGTGTTGTGTCTTTTTTTTTTGTTATGTGTGTTTTTGGTTAGATGCCTGAAATATTATCCGTGGTTAACACAAGCTGATGAGTTAGCCACCCTTAGCTTAGCGATGGTGACGTGAAGTCATGCCAATGTAAGGCAGTTAGCTTAGCCCAGGGATGGGCAACTTGGATGGTGGTCACACACACACACACACACACACACACACACACACACACACACACACACACACACACACACACACACACACACACACACACACACACACACACACACACACACACACACACACACACACACACACACACACACACACACACACACACACACACACACACACACACGGGGAATGATTATGTTAAGAGGTGGTTAACCGGTTTATGTTTGGGTCGGATTTTTGTGTTGACAATGTGGTTTGGAGTTTAATTGTGTCACCTGTTGACGGTAAGCCTGGTGGGTGGGGCTATGGGTTCAAAAGGGACGGGGTTGGCCCTAGAGGATGTCACTCGGGGGAATGTTGCAGTGAAGGCAACAGCTGGGACGTGTTCGGGAGATGGTTGCAGAGAAGGCAACAGTAGAACACGTTTACTCTCCGTGAGTGATGGACGGCCTGATTTGGACGTTTATTTTGTTTGTTTAAGTTGTGCTGGTTTGCTATTTTTTTTGCTGCTGTAATTAAAGTTTTGGAGCTTAAACCAACCGACTGGGCCAGTGTTTTCGAACGGACAAATAGAACCCCGTCACAGCAACCTTTAAAACCAGTAAAAGACATTTATGCAATCTTACTATCTTTGAACTCTAAGACAATATCGAGTCTCATAAAGTATTAAGAAATGTATATATTGGCCAGCCCTTTGTGGGATGTGTATCATTTTATGATACACATCCTTCTGTGTCGGGTTTGGTACACCTGATGATATGGCTGTGTGTATATATGTGCATATGCGTATCTGCGTGAGTGTGTCCTTTGCCCACCTGTGCTCTGTGCCCAGGGCAGGGGCTCCTGGTGGTGCCAGGTCAGAATACAGCGGTGGTACTCTGGTCTGGGATCCAGCTTCACATCACAGGAGAGCTGAAATACACACAAACACAATGTTAACATATTTCATACAGATTTGATGTGGACCAAGAGCACAAATGAGGATTTGAATCAAATGAAAACAATGTTGTCCAACAACAGTGCTTGCAAGTGTATCACATTGTATACATTTTGTAGGTTACTGTTAAAGGCTTTGGTTGGCTAGCGTTGGCCAATGGGTTCCGAGATGCATTTTCATTTTGGACAGAAGGTTTTCAGAGACTGAATGCCACATAATAAGGTAATAAGTATAGTGCATTTATGAAACTTTCGAATACTGATATACTTCGGCTTTAAAAAGTGCAATTACTAAACTGTGCAATACTCACACCGCTATGGACATTATTACACTGTATATTTGGCACAATACTTTGATTTTCAGCATTAATATAATTATTCTTATTAATACACTCTTATTTATATTAATATAATTAATGGATATTTGTACATATTAATTGTTGTTATATATTGTAGTTTACATTTTTACTTTATGGTTACAAAAATAATTAAATCTTTTCTAAAATTAAGCAATTGTTTCAAGGGAAGGGATAAATAAATTATTCAGAATCTGATATATTATTATTGTGTGTGTGTGTGTGTGTGTGTGTGTGTGTGTGTGTGTGTGTGTGTGTGTGTGTGTGTGTGTGTGTGTGTGTGTGTGTGTGTGTGTGTGAGTGAGTGAGCATTACCCTAGCTTTAATAATTGTAGGTCTAGGATCCAGAATGCCTTGCATCTTCCTCAGAGCAGGAATCACAAACAGGTTACATGTCACCACTGCAGACACTGGGTTACCTGCAAAACAACAACACTGTGTTACTAAGGCAACTGTACACAGGAAAAACATGCAAACTACAATCATCAGTCGAACGTTGATACCATTTATATTGGGGCTTAAACAATAGTGTCCATCAAAGTATTATAATAATATCTACTCAATAAAAATGTTAGAACTGTATAATGGTTTGAGTAAACTGCCGATACCTCTTTAAACCTCTAGTGGTACATAAAGACACATCCCTGTGTGTGTATTGTACATGTACTCACTTTAGTAAATGTGTATTACGGTCATAACTAACACAGTGGACCTTGTACAGGACAGTGACATACTTGTCGACGATTTTCAGAAAACTGCCAGTTGGTCATTTGTGCAACACATCAGAGGAAGCATAAGCAAATCAGATCTCGTTGGGGGTGCATCTTGTTTGCAAAGATATACAGTATGTAGGCAAATCACATTATTGCCAATTCATTGCGAAAAAGAGGCTGTGGACTACTATGGGCTTCAGTTTTCTCATCTAAAAGCTCAAATGGGTCTATTTGACTACACATGAAATACAGTGCCACACGATGAGTCTTACATTGAGTGAGACAGGGTTAACTATATATGCACAATAAATGCCAAGTTTGATCGTTTTAAATAAAAGAAATGTGGCACGCTCCCTTATTGCTGACACAACATGCCTTCCTTCAATAACCTTTAACTACATTATGGCAACAAAAGAGTTGTACAGAGGAACAAAGTATAAGGCTCAACTTTGTTTAACGGGAACCAGCTATCCTAGTCTTAGGTCAAGCAGTGGTGCAAGAAGTATTCTGATCCTTTACCGAGTAGAGGTACTAATACAACACTGTAAAAGTACTCTCCTGGATTGAAAATGTTACATCAGTAATTGCAAGTAAGAATAATCAGAAAAATTGCACAAAAAACACTATGTTTTTTGTATTAACTGATTTTTTACAGATCATATTTTATCAAATCTTTGTATGCAAACATCTTAATTTGCAAAGTCCATTCTCACTAAAGCTGTCATAGTATTATTGACTTCACTCAAAATGATCTATGACGCTGTAAATAAATAGTGGAGTAGAAGTCATATGTGGCAGGAAATAAAGTACCTTCAAATTTGAACTTCAGTACAATCCTTGAGCAAATGTACTTTGTTAATATCGAGCACCGAGTTAAAGCCTTCTGTAAAGTTAGGAGCTGGTCATGGCTTCTTTAGTTTCAACCAGTTAGTCGTTTGTTAAAAGTGACTTTTGTCAAAACATCTGTGGTGCATTAAAATTATCATTCACCATTCCTTTTTCAAATTAAGACCAATTAAATGGTAAAAATGAATTGAGATATTGTAAAAAACATAAACGTATGAGAAAAGACTACTATATCCTTGTCAAACAGACCTCCTGGTGCCAACCCATTCAACTAGTTTTTGACTACAATATCAACTCAGCATGAAACGAGCTCTGATAAGCAGGTAGAGGCAGAAGGGAATGAGGGTCATTAGGAGGGCTGAAGAGAACGAGGACCAGGACAAGAGGCTGGGTAATCAAGGTTCCTATGTAACAGCCTGAAGGACAATTGGTTAATGAACCAATGACTGAGAGGTCAGGGTATAGACATATGGATACTATATAGCTAATTTAATCAAGGAAAAGAGCATATGGGAAGTTAATAACTAAATTAAGTTTTTCCCACAGTGTGTTACACTATACAGATGTCATTGGCGGTCAAGTAATTGACTAAGCAAAGCAAAGAGGAATTCCTGGACTTTACGTATTTGAAAGTGTCCATATAGCTTTTCGTCTGAATGCAAAAGTAGGTTTTCTTTTGTTCCAAAGAATACAAGAGCATATTTGGAAAAAGTGCTGCACCCAGCATATTTTTTCAGAATTCTCCAAACTTTTGTATGAAGCTGCTCCGAGCACTAGTAGCTGACAATCACTCAACTTTGTGACATCACGGTCACTTCTTCTGAGGCAATCCTATGGTTGGTTCTCATGGTGAAAATACAATGTCACAAAAGACATCAAAAGTTTCGAAACACAAAAGTGATGCTAGTCTATCATTCAACAGCGGTTAGAGTAGTATATGATAGAAACAAAAACCCGCATAAGGCGGGAATGCTTTTTCCTCTTTGCATTGTGTTTAAGGCATGGTCCGAATCTGCAATTAGAAACACGGAAATCTTTGGTTCATTGCTTATGTTCACTGTAAGAAAGTGGTGCAGCAATGAGTCCTAAAATCCGATGTGAGTTTGCATTTTAGCACTTCCAGTTTGGATTGTCTTGAAGTGATTGAAAGTCTTTTGGTTCGCCACCTAAAATAAGATCTGTGGTTAACACAAGCTAAAAAGAGTCTTAAAGTTTTGTTCTACAACTTAAAATAAGTCATTAAATACACCAAGCTGAAGCTTGAAGCTACTATGTGTCATAAGAACTGTGGCTGCTAACAAGTGGCTAAAATAAAGCCCCGGCCAGCGGCCACACGAGGACGATAACGGTCGTATCTGCTACAGTTCACTATCAGATAGACGGTTCGGCCACACAAGGCCGACATGGAAACGCAGAAAACGATAACGGGTCCCAAGGTGGGTAGATCTGCAAACGAAACGCTCTGGGGGGGGCAAACGGCTCCGTGTTTACGCCCTATACGATCATTTCCTGATAACGATGAAGCCATAGCCCCGCTTCTCCCCACCTCTGCTGCTCAGAGATCAGCTGCTGGGCTGTCAGAAGTGGGGGAGGAAAAGAGAGGCTCCGTTTTGTATTCTTATATTATTATATAGAGTCGTTATTCATTTGTTTTAAAGCTCAATAAATAACAAAGACCTTTGACCCGCACCTTTCTAATTTTGTCCGGAAGATTTAAATTTTAACGGACATGTTGACTGGCGGAAAAAAATCCAACTGAAACTCTGCCGCACGGTCCCCTCGTCCCTTGGAAGAGGCGGAGAGGTGGGTGTTTGTCATCTGCTGGTGGACTACCGGGGAGATTTACGCTACACAAAGCAGATAGCACCTATAAAAACTTAAGCATAGACGTTTTAAAAAAGGGGCTACTGAATCGACTTTTTAAAATTATATTTAAAGAAAAGGCCCTGACAAAACAGCAGGGCTCCATTTCAGTAACTATTAACTATAGAAAAAAAAAAGACAGCAACAGCTGACATCAAATCTTTGCTGAGCCTAAGGATAATCATAAATAAATAACATAATAAAAATAAATGTATTGCAATGCTCAAAACAGCAGCATCCAACAGTCTCTAATCCATGTCACTGCATGCATGCATGGAGCAGCTGAAGCACGGAGATCATATCATTCTGTCTTGTATTACTATCCCGTCGTTCACTTAACGTTCGCGAACGACACATCACTAGTCTCGTGTGAACGGACACGTTTCTGGTGCCTGTTGCGTGTGGACGGAAGGCTTTTTTGATAACGATTGCGATCCGTTCGTAGGGTCCGTTACCGTTATCATCCTCGTGTGGCCGTGGTTTAAGGCTACTAAACGTCATCACGCCAATAATTAGCCGCCATTAGCTTAGCGGTGGCTATGTGAAGCAATTGAACTGAATGTAGTTTGTTATTAGCTTGTTCCTTCTTGCGGTTGCATTTATGCTTCAAGAATCTGAAAGTGGTGCTAACATGTGGGGATTATCCTGCTGAACAAAACGAGTAAATAGAATATAAACGTGTCAGAGCTTTTATTCTTTGCAACATTCCAAAATCCCATTGCTGTTTGTCGAGGGAGCCCGTTGTGATGCTGGCTTCCAGGTCGGAATACATCATCCCTGCACCCCCTCTATACCCATGACATATTGCATTGAAATGTGTTGGCTCCTCATATATTGAAGTGTTTGGGGTAATAGCTAATCTACATGTTTTCTAAGACGTCTTTCTTTGGGATAAAAGAGGATCTTTGCAGCAGTCATTTATGGGTAATCATGGGTTAACTTTCAGGACCTACTTCCTGTAGGTGCAGTGGATAGTGGTTGCCTGGTCTCGGCCTCACTCGGGGCTACGGCCTCCAGCAGGGAGGGCCCAGTCACTCTGAAGTTGAAGTTTCCTTTAATAACAATAGCAATACATATACATTGCTAGAGTGGAGGAACGATTATAACACTCCAAATCAAAAAGGCCCAGACTGGCCACGGGACACTATACTGTAGGGTTCCTTTACATTACCATGGCAACTTACTGACTGGGGTTCTATAGCAGCAGATATACACTTCTTGTGGTTAGCTGCTCTTCAAAGGACAGTTCTGCCCATTTCTAATCAGTCCAATCTTTTCAATTTGTTTCCACTGTATTAGTTGGTCATAACAAAAACTAAGTCTGTTGTCTGTCGCAAGTTGGCTCCTTCCATTTGGATCCCTATCCCTGCAGTTGACTTGTTGAATAATTATTGTATGCATGTCTACAATATTGATGTGTAAGTATGTCACATTGGAGAAAAGTGTCAGCTTAATAATATGTAATGTAATAGGGACAGGTACATGTCAAAAAAAACAAAAGAAACACCAGCCAGGAACTGTACCAACACATACTGAGATTCATGTCAAATTAATCAGATTTCATTGATATTTCTGTATAACTGTGTGAATTGTAAAGATATGTTACCTATCAATACCATGCTGCTTCAAAACCTTGGCATCGCTTATCAAGGAAATCAGCAGATCTTCTCAAACGGAAATGACTGGCGTTTAAAGGAGAGTTAAGCAGAAAAGGATTAACCCGAAGGAAACTGAGGCCTAAAACCAAGCTGCTAAAAGTGCTTAACTTCGGGGGGACATTAATATATGAACAGTATAAACTCAAAGACGCTTGACGTCAAAACAGAAGCAGAGTGTTTACTATGCAATCCCACAAAATGTAGGCATCATGACATGTCAGGCTACATCACTGTGATATTTCACAGCATCAACACCCATCAATGTTCCAGAACAGCATAATTTTGATCATATTTGAGACAAGCATGACTTCTGTTATGTTCCTGCAGTGTGTTCTTTGGATGTCAAATGTCTTCACACAGCAGAGAGCTGGAATAAGTCCAAGTCATAATATGTTGTTTAAAACGCACATTACAGTACATGTTTGAGCCATATGCTATTACAAATGAACAAATTGAGTTAACTTGATTTATATGCTTAATAGACAAACAGGGTCCAGGAAAAAAAAAAATGGGAAGAACTGTTTTGAAAGGCAGAGTGAGGCGGGTTTTAATCAAATAAGCGGAACCTTCTTCTTACGGGACCTGAAATCTACAGACAGAACAATACTGGCTTTTGCTTCATATTATACAAGTATTACTGTATATCAGCTTTATATAAATCCATCAGTAGCATAAACCAACCATTCACACCAAGGACAGCTCGAGTACATACACACAAGACAGGGACTGATATTACATGTGGGTGTGGAGGGGAAAAAAGAGAAATAGCCAGCAATACCCTAAACTCTAGCACAGGCTAGTTAGATTAGCAGCCATCCTGCTGGCTAACATCCGTGTTCATATTAGCAGGAAGTCTTTGCAATAGTGTGACTCTTGCTTAAGCTGCATCTATTACCACAAGGGGCATACCTGCTATTCTGTATAATGGTGTGTGTATTGCATGTGCATGTGTGCACCTACCTGTATACTGTGTGTGTGCGCATTCAAACAAATACAAGCCAGAGTCAAAAACTGAACTTCCCCCTAGTGCTAGTGTTAATTGAGTTAGTTAGTAAGTTACCCCAAAGAAATAAGGAACACATGAAGTAGAGATATTCTTCTGGTTTATTTTGACATCTAGCTATGATTTGTCTCAATTCAAATACTTCCCTTAGAACACTGCATTGCACACCCTGTTAACACTTTCATAGTGTGTCAATTTCCACCATGTAGGGTTTTCCTAAATTGCACACAGCTGCTTTGCCCTCACAGGAAGTGGCTATCACCGACATTAGCTAGCTAGCTACTTTGCTAACAACGTTAACAAAAGCAAATCTTTACAGACTTCTAAATGAATCCAATAAAACGAACAACGGCCTCTTCCCGAAGATAGCATAGTGGTACGTTTATCAAATATAGAAAAGAAACCCAAATGCATAACTTGTATTTGTATAGTACCGTGTTCACTGGTCCTATCCTCTTTTTTCCAAGCTTCTTTTATGTTCCCTTTATAAAATTAAACGTATCTATTTGCCCATTGATACACTTTCTGTTTAATTGATGTATTATGTTTTGAACAAGAATTGATGCTCGAACATTTTGTATGTATGTTAACTTCTTTACAGTGTGGCTGCTGTTGCCAAGGAGAGGTTACCTATACATCTCGAGATGAATAATCATAGTTGGTGTTAGGCCAAAGACACACAGACATTCAGTCAAAGCAGATGGGTGCCAGCGATGTTCCAGGGAACAGGACAACAAGGGGATACACACTTACCGACAACACACTCCAGAATGACTTCAGATATTGATATATTACCTGGCAGAGCAAAGATGAGTTTCCGTGCTCCGTCAATGTCCGCTGTGGCAAAGGTAGTAGGAAGACTGAGGAACAGAAACCCACGGGTCATTACTTTCCCTCTATGTCATCATATTATCATTGGCAGTGGTATAATTAGTGCTACAATCATCAGGTATAAAGTCTGGAGCCGCTTCATAGACAATAGGACAAGAACAACTTTTTCAAATGAGCAAAGACACTCGTTTTTCTACATTACCGAAGAGACTGAAGTTGTCACGTTGTCCCAAGGACAAAAGAAGATGTGATTGGGATGCAGTTGACTTAATTTCAACGCACCCTTTTACCTGATAACTCTACATTATGGACAACAAATTAATGTTGAAATTGGAAGGAGGTTAAAAGGTTTATATTAGCCTGCTAGCCCTCTGCTAGCTTTTAACATCCTGATGTGTTCCGTATTAGCTCTATTCAGCTCAAATGAGAACAGGGCAAAGGTCAATTACAACTTTTTGAAGATGTGTTCAATATAACTTGAATAAATACATTTGTTTCGAGGAAATATTTTAGGACCACTTTCAAAACAGATATTTGATAGGAAATAATGACCCTTTAAACCTTCAATTTAAAGACATTGTTTCATTGTTAGTAAAGGAGTGTATGAATTAGTATTTGGGATCTATTGGTTTATTTTTGTGGTTTCACCTCGTTTCTGGTAAAGTGACAAAATAGACAATGAGAGGGAGACTAATGTATTTTTCCTTTTTTGTTTGCCAAAATGCACCCAAATAGCCAAAACACAACCTTGGGTGCTTTCAATGTCATGTATAGCATCTTTCCTAATTCATTGTCTATGAAACAGCTCCAGACTTTATAATAACATCGATGAGTTTATGTGTAAAAATGTTTATCTGGGAAAGAGTAGTAAATGGGCGTAATTCCCCTTTAAAGCAGTACAAGCAGTAAGCAGTTACAATCACAGAAGTAGAATGAGAAAAAGCAGTACTACAACTGAAAACACTAACTGCAGTACATTGCTCACCTGGGGTCAATAACAAAATGAATTTTCATATAAAACAACCCATTCCCCCACCTTAATTACCCCCAGCCACACTCCACCCCTTTCCCCCATCTCACCCTGGCTTCATAAAGACTCGTCCAAAGTGGATCTGAGCATGAAGATCAATATCCAGCACCTGCTTTAGGTAGTCCTGATAAAACATACAAACACAGACAGGTGGATAACAATAACACTGTACAACTGAAACTTAATAAAGCAAAAAAATATACAGTGAAAAACGTTTATGATAATTTGGCTGCCTACTTTTTAAAGACCAGAATATCTACTCAAAATGTCATGAAATGAGTGATTGTTAGCTACCTTCTCTCCCATGGACACACCCCCTGAGGTGATGATGACATCGGCACGACTGATTCCCTCATGGAGAGCCGACAGCAAGTCATCAGGGCTGCAAACACAAGCATGATACATTCAACTCAGTTTAAGAGGGAGTGCAACTCAGCAGGATAATCTCCACATTTTAAAAACACTTGGATGATTTTTGAAGTGAAAATGCGATTGCCAGATTAAAAAAAAACTAACATTAAGCTAGAAATGGATCACACCACATCGCATGACTTCATGTCAATACCGCTAAGCTAAAGGCCTGATGACGTTTAGTACTCTCATTTATGCACTTGTTAGCAACTGCCTCTTTTGGAACCTGTAAAAGCTTTGTACATTCACCAGTGGGGTATTTACTGATGTATTTTAGGTCGTAGAACAAGACATTCAAATCTCATAAACTTGTGTTAAGCACAGATCATGTTTAAAGAATCTTAAATGAAAGGGGCCCCAGAAGGGCTAAAATGCTAACTCATTTCAGTTTTTTAGGACTCATTCCTGCAACAGTTGCATTTCAGTGAACATAATCAATGAAGCAATGATTTCTGATTGTAGATTTGACCTGACAGTGCATATTTAGAAGAGATCAAATAACAAAAATGCCAACTAATATTTGATGGACTCATTCCTGCACTGCCCTGGCAGATTTGATTTTTTATGAATCTAAAATGCTCCTACTTGTCTCCAACGATGCCCAGGTTGATGGTAGGATATCCATGTTCCTGGATGGTGGACAGCAGAGTTGAGCGGTTGGAGTCTCTGATTTTTCCTGGGTGGAGGTCATCCTCTGGATTCAACAGCTACACAAAACACACACCAACAAAAACAGAGAGCATTTGAACTGGTAGCAAATGCAAATCACTTAAAGCAAAGATAAACAGACAAATCTGTGTGTAATGTATCTGGTCGGCATGTACCTCATTCCCAGTGGACATGACAGCAACCACAGGGAACTTGTGCACGCTGACCTCCGTCACCCCCACTGTAGCTAGCAGGCCGATCTCTGACGGGCCCATATGTGTTCCTTTAGCCAACACACACTCCCCTCGCCTGATGTCATGACCTATTGGCCTGTGCACACACACACAAATATGTGTACTGTTAGCTTTTCTTTGCTGAAGACGCATTTTTACATACATACAAATGATGTGCTGCAAATAGGGTTTATAGCGATATATAGTTTTCTTGTGTAGCTTTTATAGTTATTAGCGTTCACTTGATTCTATTAGAATGTCTTTACCTGATGTCCTGTCCGGGCCGGGCCTGGACCATAATCCTCACCTCGAGCTCCTCTGTGCCCTGAAATAAGTAAGATAATCAAATGATTTGTTACAAAACATCTACTGTAGAACTACAAAGGTTCCATCATCACTAGTGTACTTACATCCTCAGACTCCCTCAGAAGCTCTGTGTCTTCTACCTGGACCACAGCATCAGCACCACAAGGTATCGGAGCGCCGGTCGTTACCCTCATCACCTGACCTGGCATAACTGTGTGGGTGGGCTGCACGCGAGCATTCACAAACACAAATACAGGATAAATGATGCTTCGTTGTAAATGGCTCAAAACTGTGCCACCAATGATGTGAGTAGCTGAGAGTTCATCTATGAAAACAAACAGACTACCCCTTGGAACGATCACTTGATGCTGGTGATTGCGCTTGCACAATCAAACCATATTTTAGTAGCTGCATTGAAAGTATTAACAGCAGCGATCATTTTAGTGAAGGTAGGATATTTATTAAGCAGCAGTTTTCCACCATGCTTGATGTAAATCATTGGAGTTTTAAAAGTAGAAGTAATGGTTCCAGGTTGTTACCACATTAGCACAGTGTTAGTGTATTATAGCTGACCTGCTGTCCAGCCTGTGATTCTCCCATGATGAAGCGATCTCCCGGGCCGTCCGCGGCTACAGCACAAACATGATGACGTTAGTTGAGGTTAACGATGGAAATTAGACCATGATTATCGATTTTTAGGTGACAGCCAAGAGGACAGTTTCTATACAGAATGCTGTGAACAAATACATTCATAAATGTAAAAGCAGAGACATTTGCAGTTGTCAGATAAGCCAAGTGGAAATGGTCATTTATGTTTTACATTGGTGTCCCTGACATAATGTTTCATTAATGTTGTATGGAGTGGTGCAGTGATTACGTTTCTTTGTCGGCCGACCTGAGCTCCCTTGACAAAAAGCCAATGGGATTTTTACATTGGATTTGAATGGATAGTAATGGATGATATTAGTTGTCTCACCTCGTACAGCATAGCCATCTTTAACGGAAGCCGGGAATGGAGGAAGGTTGTCTTTGGCATAGATGTCCTGAGCGAGCACTCGACCCAAACCGTCTTGAGAAGTGAGCCAAACCACGTCAAATTAGTGCACACCATATATTAACAACAATCACAACAAATATTAGGGGGATAAAAACACAGAAGACTCACCTCTGTAGTTAATGACTTCAATTCCCAGAATAGGTGTCATCTCTAGAACAGTGATGAAGGCTTTGTCCATCGACGTCAATGGGAACGGAGACATGCGATGACGACGTGCCACTTTACTGATGTCCACTGCACTGTGGCCTACACACACACAATCAGGGAAAGGGGTTAAGTAAGTGGTGAATATGTTACTATAAACGGTACCATTAGGATTAAAAAGTCTCCACAGTTACTTACTGGCCCTCAGAATGTTCTCATTACTGCCACATCGGGACTGAACCTGCAGAGAGAAAGACACATATTCCATACTTGGTTATCATTTCATGCAAATATGTATGGGAGATGATTTCAATACTTATTCACAACAATAAAGTTGAGCAATTGAATTCATTCGTTGATTTATCTGTTCATAATGTCTAATATACAGGACATGGAATCATGGATAACATGAATTCTGGCTGTGAAGGTCAAAACCGGCACACCAGAAGCTTTGTGTCTGATTATACACACATTTCACGTGAACATATTTATATTTCAGTTTGCCAAACCTCACAGTGTCATTCACTTCAACTCCAAACAACTCACAAGTCCTTACTGTCGAACACTTAGTCATATATTACTATTAATATTCCAATTCAAAGATACAATACAGTATTGGAAGTCACATTTAATAGGCCAATCCACAAGACTCCTTACGCTTTGTTCAAAGTAGATGAAGTGGTTACATTGGAACCAAACAATTCTCAAATATCTGAATTAAAAAAAACCTTTTTATGAAGCTTGCTATAATAAGTGATACATACAAATAAAGTTTAAAAACAATCAGAAACATCTCCATAATCATAGGGAAACAGTTCTTTATTGTTGTTATTTTATTAATAATATAAATGATTGGCAAGCTCTATGAATCTTGGAAAGCATACTGCAATGTAGAAATATGCTGCACTTTACATTCAAGGTGTTTTTTCAAATATTTGTATAGTTAAAACATTAGATTATTCTCAGTGCTAATGTGTATGTGCATGTAAGAAAGTTTGTGTGTACCTTGGGTGTCGGGCATGAGGCGGTGGAAAGGCGGGAGGTCGCCTGTGTTGCCCGTGGTGACTCAGAAGGGGTGGAGCTTAAAGAGGCTGAATCTCGAGGAAGCACCTGAACGCCTCGAGAAATGATAGAGTCCGGGATCTACAAACACACACAGACAAACGTACTTAATGGAAGTCAAATCAATTCCTTCAGTTGTTTTGCGGTCTACTACAACTTAGACTACTCGCGTTGCTAAAAAAGATATGGTATGCTGTGGCAAATTGTCAGCAATAATATTTATATTGACCTTGGCTGTAATGAATTGGCAACATCATTGGTTGTGAGCTCATAATGTGAATGATGACAAATCTTACTTAAGCGTCATGATTTAAATGCATCTTTACTAACTTGATTAGTTTAATCAGGACTTAAAAAGAAATTAGTTTTTATACAAAGCTGCATTCACTTTTTTGACCACCTGGGGGCAGCAGAAACGAGCTGTTAAAATAACTTTGACATATAATTAACTTCAAGAATTGTTATGACAAACATGCAATCTTTAGAAGAACATAGCTAATATTAGGATTAAAAAAGATGCCTGATGACGTTTAGTGGGATTTTTTACGGTTGATTGTATACCACAGAAGCTGTGGACATTCATCAGTTGGGTATTTACTGGCATATTTGTATTGGTTATAGAACAAACAGAACATGCATCTAACAAAAAACACATTCAAAAAACATCGACTTCGAAATGATTGAACAGGAAGTGAGGAAATGCTCACTCCTTTCCAGGTTTAAGGAATCATTCCTGCACCACTGTATTATCAAACAGTTTACACACCAAGCAGACATGTTGGAGTCCACCTAAACACGTTTTCACTCCCCTTGTCACTATTTTTGGTTTCACTCAACTCCTGAGAGAAATATGTAGGTCTTTACCATCAAACGTTTCACTTTCTTAACTAGCTTGTTTTTGTTTTTTTCATTCTGTCATTTGGTGTGGGACAGCATACACATACACTATGTATAGTAGGTTTATTAATGAATATTTTTGCAGCTCTAGACACATTTGAATAATTTCAGAGAGATTCAAATAAGTGTAATCTAGGTATGAAGAACAAGACAGTGTATGTGAAAGACATGATGAACCGACCAATGAGAGGAGAGGAGAGGTGTGTGTCTCACCTGCTGGTCATGGGAACAGGAGCAGGTGAAATGAGTGGGCGGGGCAGGTGTGTTGCCGGGCAGGTAGGGAGCCCCCTTAGCCATGACCACAGCATGGCTCGTCTGATGGACACACACACAAACAAACATGCATGCGGGGTAGATACAGACAGACAGACACATGTCCCCATAAACAGACAGGTGAATGAGTTGAAATGGAGTGCTTCACAGTGGGAAATGAATGAATGAAACACAACCAATATGACATTTATATTTCAAAGCTGCTCCTTGGACTTCCTTAATGCTCCCTCCACTTTTCTTCTACATGGCATTACATTTTGAGTAATTGGAATTGGCTTATGTGAAAGTATCTTTAACGTGCTGGCAGGGCTCGACATTATAAATGGCCCGCTGGCCCGGAAGCACTATTTAGACACCCCGGGCCAGCATAACGTACTTTCCACTTGCCCGCTCGGGCCACTAAAAATGGTCCTGTGGTATAGGTATTTTGACTAGCAATTTTGTTAAATTTAGTTTATTAACGCTACAACATAGCATTTCGTGAGGCGGTTGTCGTTGTTGGGGGAAAAGCAAACTGCCGTTTGCTGCGGAGCGCAGCGCGAGCAGGCTCCTTCACTACAGACTTTCGCGCCACCTAACCATTCGCCAAAATGTCTTTAATACCAGCGGTAACCGGCCAAGCGCCGGGCAAAAACAATCTTCAAATAAAAGAAAGTCACTGGAGGAGTTAAAGGAGAGTGACAGGGAGCATGAGAAGATGAGGGAGAGAAAGTTTCAGCCACACTGGCTTGATCAATGGAGTTGGCTTCTAAATTCTATATTGTGGTGCAGTGACACGTCCTAGAACCCTTTTATAACTTTCGAATCATAAATCTATCGATTAGATTTATGATTCGAAAATTATAAAAGTAGATTATCCGGCTGAACAAAACGTGCATTTATCAAACAGATTCGTTTTCCACAGACCTTATTTCCAGCTATTTTCCCAAACCCTGTGGAGAAATCCCATTGCTTTCTGTCGAGGGAACCAGCAGCTTACTTCCTGGTTTTATGACGCGTCACTGCAGCACCTCTCAATATGATGCCAATATAAACAAGGTCTTCTGTCGGCTCTGTACATCAATGCCGACCTATGCTGACAAGTAAGTGAAGAGTAGAACATATAAAGGTATTGGCTATAGGGACATGTCCCAGCAGTTTAGGAGAATGAAGGTTCTAATCTATTACATAGCCATTACATTTCTAACTCCTGATAATGACAGGAAGGCAGAAAGCGCATTATACTAATAATAATACTCATAATAGCAGAATTTTTTTACCAATGACAACAATATAATTATTTTAAGAAACCAAATATGAACAATTGAGGAAAATGAGGAAGAACTGATGATTCAAATGTTGTAGTACAAGTAGTAATATCGTTGAAAATGAACAAATGTGTTAATTTTCTTCATTATTAGTTATTTTTTTGGACGAATGCTCTTGGGCCCGTGGTTACAATGGTGGGGCCAGTGATAAGAAAATCCCACCGCCCGGAGGGCCAGTGAAATGTTACCCTTAATGTCTACCCCTGCATGCTGGCTTTGCACCAGCTCAAAGTAGTTATGTTCTTCATTTGGACTGCAATATCAACACTTGCTGTAACTACAATACTTAGTACAAAAAATACTTGGTAAAGAGCTATTCTTGTGGGAAAAATAAATAAACAAAGATTGTTTCACAAAGTAACAAAATAAAAATAGACTATTTGATTAATTATAGGGTTGCAGCATATGTGAAAAATGTGTCCAAATTGTTGTAGGAATAGACGTTGGTATTACTTGTTGCAGCTACCCAGAGGTCATGTTAACCGAATATTTTCTGTCTATGACGGATTTTTTTTAACAATGCCACAGCGCCACAGTTTCCTTGCAGCGAGGCTCCGGTGTTATGCATGCCCGCCCAAAAGGAAATTATACAGTTTCCAAATCTAACTTTGCCGAACAGATCATTGAAATGTCTGTGAGTATTTGCTGTGCGCGATCCCGCGAGGGGCAGTGGGCATGCACATAACACGGCGCTAACAGTCCCCCGTTGACAGTTCACGAGCGTGCTCTCTCCCCCTCATTATTATAATAATGTTTATTTTCCTATTTTTTTTATTTATATTTTCATCATTTATTTTTGTTTTATTTAAAAGTTTCCTTTTGTGTATTTCATGGTGTCAACTTCTTGCCAATAGGGAATGGGAGTTGCACTGCATTATGGGGCAGCGCTTTGAAGGATAGTGTCTTCAAAAACAGTAAAGGAAAACAAATTGTTTATTGGTGAAAGTAAAGGAGCCAAGAATGTTTCTGAAAATGGTCTGAAATGCTCTGCTGACTATCTCATTGAAATGTTTTACTAATATGTCATTTCTTATATTTGATCATATTTGTTGGGAGTCCTGCAGCAGCATTAGAGCACAGAGTTGTGTGTAGTACAGTTCCCTGCTGCTGCTGCAATGACCCAATTTCCCCACAGGGATCATTCAAGTTTCATCTATCAGGTTTCCAGCAGCAGCAGCAGCACTGATGTGTGTCCCGTCCGCTGTTACCTTGGCAGCGATGGCGGCTGCGGTGATGTGGGAGGAGCCGTGCTGGAGGTGGTGGTGGTGGTGGTGGTTGTGCACGTGCCGCCCTCTCCTCATGTCCTCGTCCTCGTCCTCCTCATCCTCATCCTCGCACTGGGTGCCGCGCTCCATGGTGTGCATGTTGGAGTCGAGGTGCATGTTGGCCAGCAGAGGGGAGGGGGAGGGCAGCTGCTCCAGGGCGGCGTGCGTGTTCTTCACCTGGACGATGGCCTCACGCAGCAGGTCGATGGCATGAGGCAGAGCAGGCAGGATGAACTGGAAACACTCCTGCAACACAAACCAAAGCACTGACATCAGAAGTCAGCTTGGAACTAGCCCACCCTACATGATGCTGTCCCACTACTCAGGAGCTACTGCCCCCTCCTCTTGTCCACCCATAGAGGTTTTGAAACAGTGTGGTGAGGATTTATTCTTTCATCAAACTAACATCCTCAAATGATGGTCATATTTGTTTACTGGTATTACCCAAGATAATGGGTGTGAAAGTGAAATAAAACATTTGAAATGCAATCTGTGGTTTTGACATGATCACTACGTTTTAGCCTTGTAAAATGTAGTCACTTTCTGAATTCTGGAAGTAGTGGTGCTGCATCTCAATTTGCATTCTTCTGTACTTACATCTACTGTTTAGAGTTAGGTACAGCAATATTCTCAAGTCAAGTCCTTCAAAAGTCACAATGCCTTATTTTCCCAATTGAATTTGCTTTCAAAAGGACAAACATTTAACATTAAATGATATTCCATAGTTAGTGGGTTATTGTAGGTTTTGTATTGAATTATTTCAAGTAATTAGCATTAGATTTGTGAGAAGATAATCTCATAATAAGATGTTTTCTTTCAAGCAGAGTTCAGGGTAAGCATAGGTGAGCAAAGTCACATGATCTTACCTGAGAGCCCTTCTTGCTCCCTGGCAGGTTGATGATCAGAGTTTTACCACGGATACCACACACAGGCCTAGAGAAAGCAGTAGAAAGATGGTTAGAGCACAAGATATCATACCACACACTCTAATATGGTTAGAAAACAGCAGATTAGCAGATCACTCCTGGAGTAGGCAGCGTGTCTAACTGACAGGCAGTGAAAACATCAAGAGTTCACCTGGACAGCATGCCTAGTGGTGTTACATTGAGTGATCCCATCAGCATGGCCAGGGCCATCCCCGGAGCCTCCCGCTCTATCACCTCTCTGGTGGCCTGCAACACAACACACCAGGAGATGGAAGTAGAAATACTAGAATAGAATAGTAGAAATACTATGTAGAAATTCTTTGGTCTTAAAGTACCTTATACATTCAAAATGTTACCCGAGTTTAGGTAAGAAAAGTGTTACCATCAAACTTAACATACGCTCAAATTAAAATAATAATTAATAATAACATAAAGAACGAAATAAAAAGTAAAAGCATACATTATGCAGAATGGCTCTTTTAGCTAAATCTTATTATTATTATTATTATTATTATTATTATGGTTCTTCTACTATCCTGTTTTAATCAAATACATGTGATAGCATTTTAAAGTTGCAATTTGAGTTTTTTTTAAAAATATAAATACTGTGTAGTATTACAGTTCTTTATTACATTTTATAAGCATATCGTGTTTTTTTTATACATAAAAAATAACTAAGAGTGTTAAATAATTGTAGTGGAATTAATAGTATTAAAATAAAAAAGAGTACTTAAGTATAGTTCTTGTGTAAATGTACTTGGTTACATAAAACTGGTTATTTTGGTATCATTTGTTTATCCTAAAAACCAGTCTTTAGTTTTCCTGTTTTTAATCATAATAATACTTATTATTTGTTATGTTTTGATCAAGTTATAGGCTCAATGTTTGCTTTTAAAAAAAAAATCCAACTTATTTAATAGTGATATATACAGTACAGTTACTGTAACCCTATATAATCATTTTTAAAGATGAACCAAAAACCACGAGTCTGTTTTTTATTTTATAAAATAAATTGGATCACTGAATTAATCAAAGTCAATATTCAAATTGGTGATGATCAAAAATGTGTGTAATCTCTTAATCAAATACTTGTAAACTTATATCCTTATTTTGATTAGCATTTATAATGAGAAATAATGGAAAAAAAGAGTGTCCGATTCAGTCCATTCCCAACTGGAACACTGATGATCAATCAACTGTGACCTAATGCTTGTTGTATTGGGCTTTTGACACAGTTTGCCTAGTTGTGTTCTTCTGTACCTCAGGGGTGACATCTCGGGGTGCAAACCCAGTTCCTCCAGTGGTGAGGATGAGATTCAGCTGCTGCTCATCACACCACTCCAGGAGAGTGTCCTGTACACATGGAAACACACACAGTTTACAACTACACCATGCATTCCTCCTTTCTTTCAGGATTCTTTGTGTCAACAGATCAACATCCTGTGTGTACACCTTTCATCTGGGAATATAGAATGTTTCAAAGTTCAAAGATCTGAATTCATTTGCTAATAAGCCAAACACATTTGTGAATATCTTTCTAAAAGACACAAATAGGCATTTCTTAATCCAGCTTTTATTTGCGAATTGAAAAAGGCATTGTGGATCGATTTCTTTTTTTTAAAATAAATATGAAATATTCATTATATTTAAAGAGTTTTAAAAAGTGCCAGTCCTAGCAAAATGTTGATGATGTGATCCTCTGCACATCTACAGTATCGTGTCCTGTGTCCTGTGTCCTGTGTCCTGTGAACTGTGTCCTGTGAACTGTGTCCTGTGCAGGGGCGGATCTACAGGGGGGGCGGATCTACAGGGGGGGCGGATCTACAGGGGGGGCAGCTCCCCCACTGTAGAGCCTTGCCCCCCCAGCTGCCACCCTAATTTTTGTTTCCCTAAAACTGTACTAAAACAAACCTACACTATTTCCACAAGCTTCTCAAGCAACAAAACAAGCATTACATTTGTTAAAACTGAATCATTTTAAATATCATTTTAGGCCTGTTAAAAACGCAGCTACGGCCCTGCATTAAACTGCGGAGCGGCGTTCACACACACCGCTGCGGCTCACACCGCTGCGGCTCACACCGCTGCGGCTCACACCGCTGCGGCTCACACCGCTGCGGCTCACACCGCTGCGGCTCACACCGCTGCAGAGAGGGAGCGAGCTGTCCCAGCACCTATGGATCAGCTTCCCCTGGGAGCATTTCCCTTTCCACTAGTTTTGTTTTTACTAAGGACGAGAGCTTGAAAGTAAATATTAATAAAACGCTGCCGATTGAATCGATAGCGTTTAACAGACGGGCGCTGTTTGGGGCGTTACGTTACAAAATACTACGCAGACAGCGTTAGCTGGGAGATCGATCACTTTGTTAAACTACGCGGTAGCCTCCTATTAAATCCACGTAAACTACACATCACAGCCATGAGGCCAGATCAATGAAACCAGGATACATCCTTTACCGTAAAAACTGGATCCAAACACAGCTGCCTGTGTGCGCTTGATCAATGCTTTCTGATGTTATATTTATGATATGCTACATATTAGCTAGGCTACATGGCCCTAACGTGTAAAGTTATACAAGCATTTGTACCAGTGCTTTTCACAAGTAGACTCTTGCAGGCCAGAGTATAGGAGTGATTCAACAACAGCAAAAAGACATATGAGAAGTGATCAGGACGAACAGAAAGAGGAAAAGGAAAAGAGAGATGAAGAGACCAGGAGGGTCAGAGCAGGAGGAAGAGGAGGAGATGAAGACATTAGTGAAGAAGAAGAAATATATGTGAGGAATAAAGATGAAGTATCAGAAAGAGGGCCAGAGGCAGGGATCAGGAGGCAGAGGAGACTCCAGCTGGACCACATGGTATGTTCTTATTCTCCTTACATATTCCATTACAGCAGCTCAATCTAGCAGCTCTTAGTATTGACAAATATTGATTGAAATGTGTTGCTGCACAGGTCACCTGTAGCTCTCTGAAGAGATGGGTGATGTCATTTGTGTACTTAATTATAATTAAGTACTTACAGTATGCAGAATTCTGAGTATTCTCTGAATCGGGTGCCTTTTGGGTCTTTATATCTTTGAAAAATGAAACCAAAATGTTTGCTCATAACATCTGGTAGTGGACTACTTACATTTTCCCACCTCAGGCACAAAATATAAATAATTACTAGGAATTTCCTTTTAAAAATGTAACAGGGTTGAAGTTTTTGACAAAAAGTAGCATGAGACCTTGTTTAGCTAAGATATGGCACCACATGGAAGTCAAGGACATTACAAAATTGTAATATTTTGCAAAACTATTGCTTATTTTTGTAATAAACAATGATTTACTATTATTAATTCATACAACATAGTTGAAATGTTGAGCTTGTCAATCTTAATCTGAAAATACAAAAACTGAAATATAGGTAAGAGAAGAAACTGACACTTTTGTGATGTAATTCCCTCAATGCAGATCACACATGGACTGATCCATTATTTTAATAGGAGGGTAAATGGTATGGCGTGACAGGGTTGAAACAAACTGAGGGACAATATTGCAATTTCATAGATAATTCAAGTATTTTTTCAGAATTGATTTTTGATCAGTTAAAGTTGACAAGCATATGATTATATTAGCAGCAACATGTTGGGATAATTGGCCATTTTGATTTGTTTAATATTAAATTAATATGTAATAATGCTTAGTGAGGACATGCAAATATGTCTGTCTAAGACAGGGGTGGGGAACCTTTTTCCTCTCAAGGGCCATTTCAATGTTTTCAACATCCTTCGAGGGCCGCACAAATTATTGACCTCTGCTTAAAAATCACAGCCCATTCATTTGGCCTTTCTTTCATGCTGTGCAAATAAAAAGCAACCTCTTAATCCAGATATCTTGCCATGACTCGCGCATGCATTCACGTGCACGGTTGTGGCATGATCACCAAACAGAAAGGTATGGACACAAGATGTGTGCAAATGTATTTAGTTTCCTATCCATGGACATGATTTAAGTGGGGGGGACCTAACCTCCTCTAGGGGGGACCTAACCTCCTCTCGGGGGGTCCGGGGGCTTGCTCCCCCGGGAAGATTTATTTTTAAATATTGAAGTTGAAAGCATCAATCTGGTGCACTTTGAGAGCAAAATGAAGAGATCTATGGAAACATCTCTCAACACCCATATGAAACAGAACTGTAAGCAGATTTACTTTTTCTTTATGGATATTTTACAAATCACTCCCCTTTCAAACTGTATTCTTTATTATTAATAACAACTTCTTTTTGTTACTATCATATAGTATTTTATACCTGTTTACTATATTCTCTTATGTTTTGATAACTATAATGATCATATAAAGATGTGCCTTTACCTCACTGGTTGGAGAAAAAGCTTTTTATATTCGTTAGCATAGCTAGCTAACCAGATGCTAATAACAACAAAGTTATTGACTGTATGATCAGTATGACAGATGAACAGATCGCCACTGGGCTTTCAACTAAAGACACAGCCACGCAAAAACTGCAGGATGTGTACGGACTTATGGGTACTGCCATTTTTTTAAGTCCCGGAGCGGCGTTCTGGTGCTCTCCGTCAGAATTGCACCCCTGTCAGACGAGACATATACCACGTGATGACACGTTAGGCTCATGTTGTGTTCAAGGACCATGACCGTTGCCAGGAAAAACAGGCACTGGCTTGTTTAATTATTTTGCGGTCTAGATTTCTTTAATTTTTCTCTTTTTTGCGTGTGTTTTATAAATGACCTCGAGGGCCAAACCAAATGGTCTCGCGGGCCGTATACGGCCCGGGGGCCGGAGGTTCCCCACCCCTGGTCTAAGACAACCCATTTGTTTTAAAACAAAATATATATTTAATTTTACATTGCTTTAAAATACATTTTGTAGTTTCCTTTCATTTAAAATGGTTGAGGTAAGCTTGGGGGACTCAAAGGGCACCCGATTGTTTGTCTGAACACCTCGTTTCTCTTGTGCATTAAGAACACTTGTGTTAGGGCATGAATTAACAATAAATAGGTTATATACAGTATAAAATACCACGTACTGTCCGCCCTCCTATGCCACCCTGGCATGACCTCTTGCCCCGCCTTTGCCCCGCCTTTGCCCCCCCATGTAAAATGTTCTAGAACCGCCACTGGTCCTGTGAACTGTGTCCTGTGAACTGTGTCCTGTGAACTGTGTCCTGCCCAGCTGGCTGATAATAGACTGATGCTCCCTGAAAGTGCTGAAAACATGAGCCAAAGAGCAAAGGTTCAGGAAGTATGTCAGGAGGAATTAGCCATTGGTTTTCTCCAGCGTTGCGACACAGACTGAAACTTTTTTGAGTGTGGACCAAAGTCCAGACTTTTTCCACGGCAAATTGTAACTTATTTTTGTATTGACTTTGAGTCATGTGATTGCTGGTGAGTTCGAATTCAAGAAACGTACCTTGATCTCATCAATCTCATCTGGAACGATCTTGTAGGCTGCTATGACTCCTCCCAGCCTGCAGGGTGAGACAGAGTCAGAGTCAGTGTGATGGCAGAGGACACGCATGTGTACTGTATGTCAACCATGCAGACCATATGCTATGGGGCCAGATCAGTCTCAACAATAATCTATGCACAAAGAATGACTTCAAAAATATATTTTGTTTCCATTTAAAATGACTCTAAAATAAGATGTTTCAATGCACAGGAAGAAAGTGATTACAAATGTCAAAGAAATCCACATAGAAATACATTTGCAAAACCTTTTTTATATAATGTCAAATATTTATCATCCTAAATAACATATGTATTAAAATTGCAACTGTAATCAAACATATTTGGATGTTGTTACCTTTAGAGAGTTAGAGTCAGCTAAGTTTATGAATGGTTAATTTTTTTATTTAGCCTTTATTTATACAGGTGAATCTCATTGAGACACAAGGTCTCATTCTCAAGAGAGACCTGTTCAGTGGTAACACCACCACACAAAGTTACAGACAGGACACTAAACACAGAGGCAACAATCAAATAAAACATCGGTTATACATGTATTTACATGCAATTTGGTCACATTTGCACTTGTGATGGGAATTATGGCTTTTTGAAGGGAGCCGGATTTTATGGCTCCGTTCCTTTCAAAGAGCCGTTGAAAATAGCCGTTTTTTTTAGAGGGGCGGGGTTACAGGTTTATCTGCAAAATAATCACCAGGATAATGATTGACTGTATTGCCAGACCTAATGTCAATAATCTGCATTGTAAACATGACACAAGGTGGCGCCATATCCATGTCATTCATGTCAGTGAATGTACTACTTTGAATGTACCCTCTGTAGGCCTATGTGTTAAGTAAATAAAGTTGCCTTGCCTTGAATGAAATTCACGCAACTCTTAATATTAGATAGGCTACTGTGTATTTAAGTGGCGATGGAGATTATTTGTTGACCCTGCTTTAAAGGATATTCTGCCTTTACAAATGGTGCGCTTTATCACTGCCTGGGTTTTGGTTGAAGTGCATCCAAATGCTGCTGCGTTTTCGCGTTTGGCTCATTTTCCATCCGAAGAACACTTTGTCTACCTTGTTATGACTTCTCTCTCGCGCATTCCCTCCCTTAAGACCCCACCCCACCTCACCTTACTCCTCGTGCTGAAACCTACCAATCAGAGTAGGGGGGGTCTTCACAGAATACGTTTGGGGAACAAAATCAAACTTTTTAAAAGGCGAGTGAATGTTGGCAGGCAGTGAGTGCGGACCTATGGTGCGCGGACCAACGATTGAACGATAAAAAGAACGGCTCTCACCAAGTACGACTCGGTTCCCCTCGTTCGTAGTTCGTACCAAAGAGCCGTTCAAAATAATCGGCTCGCGACCGACCGACACAACACTAATTTGCACATTTGAAATCCCACAGAACAGCACAGACAGTTACACCTTATGTTGGGAAGCGTTGATGTAAATCACATTAGGTGTTTTATATAGATATGTTGCATATCATTTCTTCCGTAAAAGTAAAGAAATGTGTGACATGCTGCTATTCACATTAATATGAACTTATTAATCCATAAACCTGTTACTGTTAATGAGATTTGTTTTAGTAAGATTAAGTTGAAATTGCATCAGTGGGCAAGACATTTAAAAATTGGAATGTAGTCTGTGCATCTCAACATACGGAATATCCTTAACATGATTACTTCACAGTGCTATCTGGGGGGGGAGGAAAGACTGGAGGCTAACACGGATGACCTCACAGCAGTAGTAGGATAATGTACACATCAGAAAATGTAGGTCAGAGGTAAATGTCAACATGGAGCCTGGCAGCTCCATGCGTAAATAACAAATGTCTTGTCTTGCTTTAGTAAACATGTTTAAGTTATGGTTACAACAAAAGTGAAGTGGAATTTTAAGACCATTAATCGTGCACTGCATTTTGTTATAATTCTCAGTGTAAACACACTCAAAATAGCAATTGCAACCGCAGAAGTCCACAAATTGAGACAAAGGACATATTGCCTATTAGTATTATATAGCTAACTCGCTAGCTTGTGCTATTGTAAATACTACATCAGAGTTATTTTAATGCCTACTCTTTTAACTCTAGGTCACATGTGTCAAACTCAAGGCCCGGGGGCCAAATCAGGGCCTTGGTGGATAATTCCTAATTACTATTAGATGTGGTCCTCCGGTATATTGCACGCACACCTTCACTCCATCCTGAGGGTTTCCTCCGCTCAGAGCCTGAGCCCAAACATTGATGAACTTGCACCCGAGATGAGATGCCAAGTATCTGAACTAGCGTCACAGAGCAGCACACTGAGTTTACATGGATGTTTCCTTCTGCACTTTCTCTCTCACGACAGCAGGGCATGTTTGGTTTGTTCTTTGAGGGGAATAGTTTTGTTGAAGCTGTTGTTGGCCTGTGGGAAAAAGTAATCCTAAGAAATGAGTCTGGAAAAGCTGCAGATAGAGCCATAAGAAATGAATGCAACTGATTATTTAATGTTGTTTTTATAGGCAATCATTGAAGCTTTGTTAGTTCCAGGTTTAATATGTGCAATAACTTCATTTCATAAGTTTTGCAATAAACATTGAACCAGCCCGGCCCTCCACTGGTACCCATTTTTTAATTTTGGCCCACTGTGTATTTGAGTTTGACACCCCTGCTCTATGTGATCACCTTCAATCATAACCATACAACTAAGTGTACATGGATTGCTGAAGCACAAGGATTAATACGACAGAAAAATGATTGTTAACCGTGCTACTACAGGGAAGTCTTCAAATAAAAAACACACACATGCAGTAAAGTTCAAACAATTAAAGCTGTTTGTTAATGCAGGTTCAACAGTGAGTTGAAAAATGTGTTTTATGAGTAAGATTGCAAAGAACACTTCAGAATACATGTATTTGTGTTTTCTATGACATACTTGTAATTACAAGATGAACTATTTTTTCGTGAAGAGTCATTTCTATATAAATAATCAAATGCTTTTATGAATTCTTCCGAGTGCATTCATTAGTAGTGAGGCTGTTTATGTAGACTCACAGTGAGGGATCATGGACCAGGTCCTTCAGGTTGACTCCACTGCGGTCCTCAGCCAGGTTCCTGAAGCAGCTGTCACTCACTGGAGAGAGGGGAGTCCAGGTTACAGAACAGAAACACCTCCAGCAGGATGAATATGATGCAGTTTACTACATATGGAAATCAAACTGATCACCGATACGCTGGTTGTCTTCAAAGGGTACAACCTCATCTGATACTCGTGTTTGAGGGTTTCTCTTTCCTGTTCTATAGGTTTCAATCAATCAATGTTTATGTATATAGCTCAATATCACAAATGTTACATTTGTCTCAGTGGTCTTCACAGTTTCTTTGTAAATGGTCTGCAAAGGCTAAAATCCCTGTGTTCCCTCCAGAGATTAAAAGTGTCAACAAAAATGTCTTAATAATTGATCATATTTCAACTTTATCGGCTAACTCTTGTAAAGTTGTTTGGCTTTGACACTAGCTAGAGGCACCTTAGCCCATAGATCATAGATTCACAATTTAGTACAACGTACATTACCTTCTTTTTATTTCAATGATCCACCAAAACTAGATTTTTCTATATCTTTCTTAATGTCAAATATATCCATTACAAGACCATTACGTTTTGTTCAAACGTAATGTTGGGTTTTTGAAAACCCCAACGACACTGAACATGCAATGAAGGACATGGGAAGGGGCCACCCCGTCACATAAGCCATTGCTGCTTGTGTGATTTCAAACTTATAGGTTCTCAAGAGATTGACGTATATTTATTTTTGAGAAAATAAAAATAAATTCCCCATCTGTCCCTCAAAGTAAATTGTACTTACTAAGATAGTAGATTTTTCCACAGTAAATATTATAATTTGTATTTTGGGGGTTTTTCTGCCTATATTGTCAGATCAGCCTAAGATGAACAGGAAGCCGGAGAGATAGAAAAAAAAAGACATCGAACTGTCAAATTCAAGCCTTGTGTGTTCGGGTACTTTCAATTCAGATTAACAAAGACTTGGTGAGTTAGTGAGAATTTACAGGATGGTGTGATGAGTGAAAATAAGTGAGAAGTGACTATTTCCAGTATCAGAGGTTACAACACACAACCACTTTACTAACACCATTGAGATTAACCACTTCTGGGATTCATATATTTCATCCATCACAAACCATGATCTTTTCCTAAACATAACCAAGTAGTTTTGGTGCAAAAACTGTCAGTGTTTCAAAGGCGAATCATGTTGTAGGCATGTTCCATGGTACTTTGAAACCGCAAATAGACCATCTTGAAGTAAACTACAGTGGTCGTCACTGATGGTTACTTAGGCAAGGCAAGTTTATTTATATAGCACCTTTCAACACAAGGCAATTCAAGGTGCTTTACAAACATGAAAGACATTCAGACAAAGGCATTTAAAAGAAAAGATAATAAAAGAAACATTAAAAGAAAAAATACATTTATAAAAAGTACATAAATACACAGTGCAGTTTAAGATATGAATAGTTCACACAGAAGTTCCATTTTACTGATGCCTTTCTTTAAGGTTTCTACGAACATGAGCTGTGTACGCTTGTGTGTCACATGCGTCCTGAGCAGCATACACAGAGAAAACCAGCCAGGACAAAGTCCTCAGACACTGATTCCCTGGGGTTACTAGCCCCAAATGTTCATTAACCTTAGGCCCTTCATCCACATATTGTCTTTTTCCGAAAGAAAGGCACTTGCAGGGCACTAAGCAGAGCATCCTCCAAGCATTTTATCAGAAAATTGCTCCCGAGGTTTGAATTTTAACATTGTGTTTTTCAACACCAACCGGCTGGCTCTAGAGCGAGCAGGAAAATCCGCTTATAACGATAAAAGTTCAACACTCACTGGCAGCAACATCCATTGAATAACTGGTCGATAGCCTAAGAAAGAAACTGGCTTTTTTTTTTAAAATCTCTGTTATGATAGTTACCGGCAAAAAAATAATAATATATATCTATACCACAAACAAATTTCTCATTTAATTTCTACAGCGCATCTCTAAAAAGTTGGAATATTTTCAACATCAACTCCTCGGAGTGGCCGCACATAAATGGCGAAGCGCTCACTAAAAATACACTAGGAGCGTTTTTTTTTCTCTAGAAAGTCGTTTGTGCCAATTCCTCTTTGGAAACAATTTGAATTGCTTTGTGGACACAGGTTCTCATATGTGTTGCTTGATTGTGTTTTCAATGAGTAAAATACAAGAATCAGGCTTGTATACATAACATCACACTCATTCCTAGGATCTATGCTGGTTTGTGTCTTTAAAAATGGAATTTGTTGACAATGCTAAAAATATCGAATTTCCCCAGCTTTCATGTTCTATATGTAGGATTTGGCGGCATCTAGCATTGAAGTTTCATATAATCGTACACTGATGATAAAAATAGGTAGAAATATTGCATTTCATTTCTGCTAATAGCTCCCCCTAAATACCACACCGTGGCCCTTTAAGTGGTTTCCCCTTTGGACACAGAGCTCTTTGGTAAAAACACGGCCTCTGTTTGAAGTATTTCCCAAAGTATTTCAACTAAATGTAGCACTCCTCGTACACTGTGTAGCTTGAACCTGGCTCCTTCTGCCCAGTAACCACAGGAGGAACATCTCATATCTGTGGTTTGACTGCTGATTTAACAACCAGTCTGTGACTTTGCCTAGTAGTACCAACACATCATTATTTATTCATCTTTTCGACGCCTTTTGCTCCATTTATGTAAGCTTAGATCTAATTTAAACCCCATATTTGACCCTATACGTGACCTAACTCCTGGATTAAATTATTGTCTAAAACCACACACATATTCTCACGCACACACATGACGTGAATGGGTAACGTATGTAAACATATGACAGGAGGTTTCGGTTGTATGGACGGCAGTGTTAGCTGCTGTTTGGTTAGCCGAGATGCTAGCTTATCAAAAGCACGACAGGCTTCCCGAGCAGCTGCTGGGGAGCATCCGCTTAGCATTTTTCTCACGTCTTCCCCTGCTTTGGCAAGGAGAAGCAGTGGTACTGGTGACCGACCGGTGGCTGTATACTGGTCCCAGTCCTCCTCCGCACGACTCACAGGCGAACATCAGCCGAGCTAATTGGCGAAGCTGCTAAAACAACATAATTCATTTCGCCTGGGCAGTGCGCCTTGCCTTCTTATTAGCTTTTAATAGCTTCCAAACGCACGATTTACGATTAATAAACGTGCATTTCTGATATGACGGAAAAGTCCTCTATTAAACCCGTGTGAAATGGCCGTCAAAGGAACCATATACATAAATGTAATGAAGAGCACCCCCAATAGCGGACAACAGAGCGGATCTGCAAAGGGACATGAATAATGCAGCTCATGTAGGCTCTGTATAGCTACATTGCTTGGAAATATAAACGTAAAGGTGACAAGACACCGCACAGAAAAACGGGAAGTACGATGGGTTTGCCTTCAAAATAAAAGCACAAGTCTTAGTTAAAAACTCATTGCAGCACTTGCTCGCCAAGGAATAGCCACCTAGTTTTGAAAGTCTTTGCTAGGTGTTCTTTTTCCTACTGTCTCACTTGACACTGATTAAAATATATTACTAAATGTCGTGTTGCTACATAGTAGCTACATAACTGAATATGACAGCCATGTTCACATGTAAATATAAACGGTATAAATGTCACTACATAATTGCAAATATCGTCGCTACATACTAGTCTCACATCTGTGCGACCTGTCAAAAGGCAGGCAGCTAACGTTAAAGCAATGACAAGTCAATGAAACCGGTTAGCTTAGCATAGTGGCTAACGATAGCTAGCTCGACGGCGAAGACAGCCCGTATCGTGACACCGACGTGCACAGGCAACCGACGACAAAACGCCACAGAGGTGCACTGCAGAGAAGCATTTTATTGCATTTTATCACACAGTGTCCTTACCCGTCAGAATCCCCACTCGGGTCTGATGGTCGTGGTTGGTGAGCACCATCCCGTCCGCCGCCATGTTTACAACCTCTGTCTGCACTGTGCCCGCACATACATAGAAACAGTGAGGTGGTGTGCGGGCTGCTGCTGCTGCTGCTGCTGCTGCTGCACCACCTCTGGAGGACGGCTCTGTGTGTGTGTGAGCGTGCATGTCCTCTGCTTTAAGGTGTCTTCGTCCTCCAATTAATAAGTGAAGATTTTGGGCCGCCTCAAAAAAATCACTAGTAGAGACTGTGTGAAATCCCCCAAAATGAGTAAGGTGACCTATTAGTGAATCATAGTGTCTGATCATTCATCAATCAATGCTCCATTTTGCACACAATGTTTTCTAATTGTGTTGGAAGAAGCATACCACAAGCAGTAATTATGCTTTACTGTGGAAAAAATAGGTTTAATTTAGCTATAAGGGGACATTTGGTCCTTGATTTCCTGCTAACACAGTAGGGCAGTGGTGGTTTTAGGATGTCTAAGGTGCAGGGGCCAAAAAATGAACAGGCCACCAGCTGTACTCTTCCCCCTACCACTTAGGGAAGCCTATACTTTGTGACAATGAGTGAGCATAGCAAGGGCCCCTTTGACACAAAATCAAACAGATATTTCCACAATAAAAAAACGACATCATAGTCAAATGGCTGCACGTCATATCCGCTAAGCTAAATGTGGACTTATACTAAACGTCATCGAGTGTCCGGCTCAATGGCGTTTAGTAGTCTCATTTAGCCATTTGCTAGCAAGCACCGTTTTTATGACACTTGGCAAATTAGATAAATTGGAGGAATTCCATGTAAAATATTATCTGTGTTTATTATTGACCTTAAAATCAATTGATAGGACGGCTATAATCAATCCATGTAGATGTATATCTTATCAAATGCAGGTTATTTCAAATAAAAGCCTGTCCCGTAAATAGGGTATAATTAAGGACAACTTATTCCCCAGGTAAACTAAAGCAGAAAAAAAACACTTATAAACAAACCAAAATATAAGCAGGACTATCTGGCTCATCTCATTTAAATTAAGGCATCCTGCTGCCAGCTTGAATGCTATTGGCCAGTTTGGCCCCCTAGAATAGATTGAGCTAAAATCACTTATGAAGACTTTGCAGTTATTAAATTGAAGCCTCCATAATCGCAATGAGCTGTCCTTATGGCAATGCTTCTTGTTGCTTGCGATGAGTGCGGTTAGTGCTAACTAGTGCTTCAATTTTTCCGGTCAGTGTTCGGGCAATACCGGCTAACAGAAACCCTGGTCACATGTCTTGGAAGGAAGAACTACATGTTTCATGTGACGGATGTGTGACAGAACTCGCTGACCAAGTGTGAAATCAGCATGCTGAGTAGAACACAACATATAATTCAAATGTCACCAGTGCCGAAAATGACCGATTGCTCATGGAGCATGTGATGGGGGTGGCTGCTATATCTGGGACATCCTGCTCCACCTGTGTAGTGTCCTTTGACCTGTAATGTCAGAAAGAGTTGGCAAAATGGCTAATGCTTGAAATATGTAGAAATTATTATGTTCGTTCTTTTTTTTGGACTAATTGTATTACATTTATTTTTTCAACTTAATCATCAGAATAAGGGAGGGAAAACAGGGCAATTTATCTCTATTGTTGATTAATCTGTTTTTATAATGTAAATTGCTTGGTATTCAATAACAAAAATAATTTTTAAAATAACCTTTTCAGTTATTTTAAGAGTAATGATGGGTAATTTGATATATTTTAATTTATAATTTTTGAAAAGAGTTGAGTTGTCCGTTACTTAAAATGAATGAAAACTCATATTGTGCAACACTTCACAGCTTAAAAAAACTATAACAGACTCAAAGAGAAAGACTAAAAACCTATACTCAACACTTCTACAAATTGAGATGTCTATTACCTAATTTTCTTTGGATACATAAAATATATTAACAGTACTTATAAACTTATAGAAGAAGAACAACATCTAAAAGAGAGCCACCTTTAAAGCTGACAAAACAGAGACAAAGCCATGACCCACAGGTGTTCTCACTTACCTGATTACAACATATCTCCCTGTCCCTTAAATTGTCTTGACATTAGATAGCCTTGCAGAACAAATAAATCCAAGCGTGACCTATTGATGTGAACCCTTCAAGTAAAACTGCCTCATTAAATTATTGGGTAATACAGTTCAGTCTATTTGCATTATTTATTAGGATACAGATTTATTGATGTAATGCAATCCCCATTATAGTTTCACTGAACCTGAACCCAAGCAGAGGTTTAAATCATCATGAACTGGAAACGTCTTTGTCTTCCTAAAATCATTGTGGAACTATATATCTTTGGTTTTATAATGATGTAATTTCTCACAAAAACTAGTAGGTCTGTCATTAGCAATAATTGCTAGCAATTAGCTTTAGCAATAATAGTATTTATGTTCCTTCCTGGAATTGTTAGTTTGACCAAAAAAAGCTGATGTCCGGTTACTATTTTATTTCCCCTGACATTTGAGATAATCACATGATGGAAAATGAGTTCAAATGATTTTGACAATAATACCAATACTATTTCAGTTCAGTCTCCAGTGTAGATGATTTTTATAGTCGTTACATCTTGCTCCTCTACAGGTTTTGAGTTTTTTAGCTCATCGTTTCCTATTGAGAAGAAGCTGGAGTTGACTTTGAGAACCCATTCTGTGATCCTCTGCTCAGTGTAGTACTCATCCTCACTGTCCTCCTTCAGCCTCTCCAGACAACCACAGCACTCAGATTCTGTTTCAGAAGCTGAGACATCAGAGCAGAGATCTCTTTGTTTCCTTGCTTCGGCGGGCCTAGCATCAGGTTTAACCGTGACGGGCATCATCGTATTGCTGTCATTGACACCGGGATCAGCAACGTCATATTTCTTTTGTCGTACCGTGGGTCCACTGTTGCTGGATTTGCTCTCATCTCTGCTTCCTGGATTGCTGTTTTGTTTGCTGCTGCAAGAGCAATACGGACTTTGAGATATTTGTTAGACTCATGGATAACTTTCCCACGTAGTTTAACCAACAGATGAAACACATTTTCTATGATTACAGTACCAGTTGGTAAATAGGGTCTATATTCCTTTGGTTTAGCCCATTCCTTTCTGTCCACTGGTAAATCACCAGTGGTTCTTGATTGGTGGAAGAGAGATGCTTTTCATTTGTCTTGGTTTGGACGGACCCTTTTAGACATTTTGACTGCGCCAGGACGTGTGCAGTACGGACTAATATTTGCAGCTGCTTGTGAATAAAATGATGATCCTGTGCTGTTGTTGCAACAATCCGTAGAGCACATCATCCCCAGTTCCCCCAAACACCGGCCACTGAATGGCAACCGTGGTCCAATTGACCTCAACAAAGCTGAAGGTCTAAAGACAAACGCCAGAAGAAGAAGAACCGTCAGTACACCATTCCTATGGATGCTGATCTCCAACGATTTACTTCTCAGTTCAGAAACATTCTATCCCTGTCGTAACCCTAACCCTAACTGGTTGATGTCTTTAGCTTCAACAGTTTGTTGCATCCTCTGTCAGAAAAATGTGATCTATCTTTGGACGCAGGCAGACCCACTTGTCTGTCAACCTTTTCTTATACTCCCTTGCCCTCGATGACCCGCCCACTCCACAGACACATATGCACACACACACAACCCAGAGCAGTCACTTAATCTGTAACATTACCCATTGGTTACCTGAAAGGACCTAAACACTTGGACAGTTGAGGTGCAGAAGATATTGTGTTTATTTCTTATTTGCTTTAGCTCTATTCTTGAATGAGTTGTTAAAACAAGTTTAAATGAAGTTTTTTTTTCACTGCACTGTACGATAAACGTTTGTATTGTATTCACTTTGCCCGGTAAATGTTTACAAACTGTTGAAATTGTAATCTAAAAAGTTCAGGAGTTAGCATCGCAAAAGCTCACTCGACAAAAAGTCAATGGTATTGGGATTTTGAAATATTGCAGAAAAAAAGATTTTTGGGTGATATTTACACTTTTTGTTTAGTAGCTGAATTTCCACATATTAACATTAGTTTTATAATTGTTGAAGCTTAAATGCAATGGGCAGAGGTAAATAGCATAACTAACTACATCACGGTCACATGACTTTACTAAGCTTAAGGCGGCTAAGTATCAGCGTCATGAAGTTTAATAGTCTCATTCACGTAAAAAAAACTTAAAAGCTTCACAAGTTCACAGGTACGCTGTTAAAGGATGTGTTTTGTGTCACAGAACAAAAGGTAAAATGTTAAACGTTATTTTGGAAATGTAGCCAAAAAAACAATCAAATAACTGCTTATTTCAAGACCAGGGAGCCCGGAAAAGCTCAAATGTAACCTAGTTCTAGGTTTGGAACTCATTCATTCGGCGCTCTATAACTACGAATGTAGGCTTATGGAATTTTTACCAGCTTTAGCAGACATACAATAGCCCATCAAACTGTTGCAGCAATCGCAGTTTAGAAAATGTTAAGACTGTTTCAAAAAGCTAATCCACCCAGCATTTCTATGAAGCGTCCCCGGCTATAAAAAAAAAGGTTTGTTATCTCCAGCCATGATTGTAACAGACCTGAATTAGACCTGAATTAGACCTCAATTAGACGACATGACTCCAGCAGGATACACAGAGTCAGTGCACCCTGCTCTTGCCATTAACAAACTAAATACAAAGTGTTAATTAGTTCTAGATTAAGCCAGCTGGCTGTTTCCCCCCGCTTCCTGTCTTTATGCTTAGCTAGGCTAACATTCCTTGACTCCTTATTCCAGATGTTTACATCTGGATCTTTTCCCCCGAGGATAAGCGTGTGTGTGAGCTTAGTTTCCAACCATCTACATATTCTATCATGTTGTCATGCTGAATATATTTGAAGCAATTGTAAAATGTCTTTCTCCTCATTTGCTTTTCCTTTGGTTTCAACCATTTTTGTGTTGTATGCTATGAAAATGTCTTCCAAACATATCTCCCAGGTAATAATAATAATGCATTTTATTTATATAGCGCTTTTCACAACTCAAAGACGCTTTACAGTATGAGGGAAGGTAGACAAACAAGGACAGGCAAACAAGTAAGTATAGTAAAATAAAAAAAATAAAAAAAGGCAGTCAAGAGGAAGTTGATTGAGAGGGGGGGGCTTATGGGTAGACAGAGTTGATGCCTACTGTTAAATATTCACCACTAAGGGCATCTGATCTGGCACTTAGCCACTTACCTAATTATACAGTATAGTCAGAGCAGGAAATGACTCGGTAGCC